AATGTCTTATGAAGAAAGTCGCTGTTGAAAATGAAATCATCCTTTAAATTGCAGATTTGCAAATATCTATTCAGCTGCGATTTTATCACATTTTTCATTATGTGGGAGGGAATGTTAGAGCGGTACATAGGCATGTTCAGTATTTTAAAGAAATAATCCCTTCTGTTGTCCTAGATATTGGTCAGTATCTGTGAATTTGAAATACTTAGGTTTAAATCCAAGTAGTGTGCCTTAAGAAATGGTGGTTAATCCCTTCTCTTATCGTAGATACTGGTCAGTATCTGTGAATTTGAAATACTTAGGTTTAAATTCAAGTAGTGTGCCTTAAGAAATGGTGGTTGAGTTGTTTCTACAACTTCCATACAATCCGGATAGATGTTTTTAATATCACGATCTATCCTGTTAATGGCCAGGAGATCATCTATGTATCGGAATGTAAACGCATAATTCTCAGAGAAAGGGTTTTCTTTAATAAACTTTGATTCATAGAAAAACAGGAAAAGGTTTGCCATGTTCGTGGAATAAGTACTGCCCATTGGGATTCCGACCACATGCTGAAAAAGTCGATTCCCAATTTGGATATAATTACATTTTAGGCTTGTTTTGAGCAGTTGAGAGAACCTTTCCTTGTCAATTTCACCTTTCTTACCGAACTTGCATCCAAAAGGCAGAAACCTCCCGAAAAGAGCAACGATGCAATCATGGAGTAGGTCCAGGGGGATTTTTATGTATAGAGTGGTAAAATCCCATGATCTGATGGATTTGGCTGCCTTAATAATATTGAAACTTTGTGGGCATTTAGTTCGCTCAGGATGGATTTCGGTAAAAAAAAAGATACTTTTCAGTTAAAACGCCTCAGGGCACATTTTGCAAACGGCGTATTTTCCCGAATTTTCTGATCTAGGAAAACAGAGGGCGCTAGAAAGTTTAAACTTGGCAAAGAATAACGTGATGGATAACTGAGGAAAGAAAAAATTATTTCGTTATATATAGACGATCAGGAGTAGCTGACTGACAGACATAAGTAATTATTCGCATGCTGAGTTGAGGGAAAATTCTACTTTTTGAAATACTTCCCTCCTATGATCTACGCTAAGGGGACATATTTCAAATGTATTCTCCACCCTTACAAAAAGGGGCATATGAAAAGATTTCAAAACACACTAGAAATCATAGAAGTAATGATTTTGATAAAAATGAAGACTTTCGTCCCCATATGTCACGTATTTCAATGGTTACGTACTTGAAATACGTGTTTGCCATTTCGCAAATAATAAATGAATTAATCACTACCCCAGGTAATGGAGCGCCGAAGGCACAACCATAGCACGAGTCCGAGCTATTGATAGAAAACGAGAAGAGAATACTAAAAAAGCGAAGGATAGTTAAGGAAGTCTAATGGACTAGCAAGTCGTAGGGGTCTCGTCTGGGGCACGATCCTACCAAACAACTTGCAGTGTAAAAAAAACCCTTTTCGACATCTCCACACCAGGGAATGATCATTAAGGAAGAGGACATTGGCTGCCGCAACAGGAGTAGCAAGCTGTGGAAGCTTTTTAATTCCGTCCTACATTCACCGCTCCTGCACATTCCATTAGCTGGACGAGGTTCACACCTTTGGTTCCTAGAGGAGCCTAGTGCAGAGCGTTCTGTGCATGTAGACATTCAAGTCACTATCTGTAGGACCACTGTCTGGCAGTAAGAGGTTGCCCCTGGTGTGGAGATTCGTGCCCGAACGGTTCTACCACTTCCCATGGCTTTTAATCAAATTGGCAAAGAGAGAAAGCCAATGCACTGGGATCATTAACTGGGATAAGTAATAAATTAGCTGCAATCCGAGCCTGAGTGTGTCAGAGAGAGCCAACTCTGAACCGGAAATATAACTGTTCCCTATTGAAAAAGATCTAGAAACATGACAGGAAGAGGAGAAAAGGCAGAAGAGGAAAACTATTGCAGAGAGGAGGAACTTGGCTCCTGACCTAGAGCCTGTATTCTTGCTTAGGCCTATGGTCCATAGGCTATAATCCGGCCTAGTTCTAAGTCCTGGGCCAGTTAGGCCTGGCCTATGGCTTGGGAGTCGTGGCTTTGGAACCTCTGTAGGGAAGGTCTCACTTTAAGAAAGAGGGAAAAATATTTTCACCACCCACCTCTCCGTATTTGTTTGAGATTGGCAAATAGTGGGTTTTATTGAAGAGCTGGAAGTTTTTGCTAAGCATCCAACCTGGATATCCATTATAGCTCAATGTCTTATGAAGAAAGTCGCTGTTGAAAATGAAATCATCCTTTAAATCGCAGATTTGCATATATCTATTCAGCTGCGATTTTATCACATTTTTGATTATGTGGGAGGGAATGTTAGAGCGGTACATAGGCATGTTCAGTATTTTAAAGAAATAATCCCTTCTCTTGTCGTAGATACTGGTCAGTATCTGCGAATTTGAAATACTTAGGTTTAAATCCAAGTAGTGTGCCTTAAGAAATGGTGGTTGAGTTGTTTCTACAACTTCCATACAATCCGGATAGATGTTATTAATATCACGATCTATCCTGTCATTATTAATGGCCAGGAGATCATCTATGTATCGGAATGTAAAGGCATAATTCTCAGAGAGAGGGTTTTCTTTAATAAACTTTGATTCATAGAAAAACAGGAAAAGGTTTGCCATGTTCGTGGAGTAGGTACTGCCCATTGGGATTCCGACCACTTGCTGAAAAAGTCGATTCCCAACTTGTATATAATTACATTTTAGGCTTGTTTTGAGCAGTTGAGAGAACCTTTCCTTGTCGATTTCACCTTTTTTACCGAACTTGCATCCAGAAGGCAGAAACCTCTCGAAAAGAGCAACGATGCAATCATGGAGTAGGTCTAGGGGGATTTTCGTGTATAGAGTGGTAAAATCCCATGATCTGATGGATTTGGCTGTTTTAATAATATTGATGTTCTTTACAGCTTTCAGTACTCCCTTATTGTTTTTAATAATCCAATTTTCATGGACATTTTGAGAGGAATATTCGAGTTCATTCGTGAGTTGATCTAAAATCTCATTCACTCGAATTGATAGATTTCTGATGCATGTGCTGACTGAGCTGGTGATGAACCGAAATTTTATTGGATTTTTGTGAAATTTGGGATTTGCAAAGAGGAAAGGTATTTTTGTACTCTTCGAATCTATTTTTATTCCATATTCAGAACAGGCACTAAACACTTTCTTTCTTGCTTTCTCAAAATTTATGGTCTGCTCTTGAAAGGTAGGGCTGTTCAAAATTTCATCTTTTAGTATTTGGCCATAAAAACGTTGGCAAATAAAGGCAAAATTATTGTTGGCCTTATCAACAGTGACGATCACAAATTTCTTGTGTAGTTCCTGTAGGAGATCTTTGAATTTTCTGTCGGAAATATCTAAAGACCCTTTGGGGTACTTGACCTGAAAACTTTCAATTTTATCTTTAAAAGCCTGAAACACTTTTATCTTCCATGGATGAAAAAAGGCGTCATAGGTTCCAGTTTGAAAAGAAACTCGAGAAATATAAGATTGAATATCCGTGTGGATTTGCTCGATTAATTCCTCCTTGCTGAACCTATGATTAAACCGAATTTTGCTCCTTGTGTGAATATAGCTTTAAGTTCTCTATTGTTGATCTCTAATTATATATATATATATATATATAATTCATTTCACACCTAAGGATGCTAGAAACCACTTTGAAAAAATGCCAAGAACAACCTTTAGTTGCAATGAGATAAATGAGATATGATAATTGTCGTGACCAAAATGAACTATCATTTTAACTCCTAGAATGAACTGATGCATCCATGGACATCACTAGTAATCCAAAAATACACATTGTTGCTATTCATTGAGAACATCTTGCATTGAGGTCAAGTGTTTCAATTTCATCCATATTCATATCATAAAATATTCTCTTAACCCTTTGAGGAATGAATTTTCTTTGTGCTCCAAGGACAGTTTAGATGAAAAAAATTCAGAGGTCCCTCAATGATATACAGGGTGGCCAAAAATAAACAAAGCTGTCATTTTTGATGAGTTGTCAATCTCTTTGTAGGCTGCCAATTTAAAAAAAAATTGGTAGACTTATAGGGTGACAAAATGGAAGTTTGTATACCAAATTTCAAAAACCTGGCTCTAAAATTATAAGAGCTGTAATTATTTTCTGATGACCAACAACAAATGTGCTGTTGAAAATATTGATATGAACTTGAAGCTGGGATGAAAGAGAGGTCTGAATTCATGAACTTCCATCCCTGCATGATGCTACAAAGGAATATTGGGAGGCAATGCCTCAAAAGTTTATTGATTGAGCCATTGATCTATGGTGTCCCAGACTAGAGGCTCGTGTTCAACAGAATGGAGGGCACATTGAGCACCTTTTCAGCTGAAATGAATGTCACCAAACCAAATTGTGTGCCTTTCAGGTTTCACATTTGTCCATTTGTTTCTGTTCTGTTTGATTGCTTGTTTGTTTTTAATATCAGTTGTGAAAGATTTAAAGCTGAAAGAAAAAAATGAACCCTTACTTTTTGGTGATGAAATGTAAATTAAATGCCAATCTCACAGTTTTTGGAATTTTTACTTGAAACTTGGCACACAAACCCTAATTGAGTCACCCTATGTGTCTACTAAATTTAATCAAAATTGGCAACCTACGATCAGATTGACAACTTACCGAAAATACTTTAGCTTTGTTTGCTAATGATAAACATTGCAATGTGCCATATTGAAGTATCAGAACATGGCTCACACTGAAGACCCAGTCTTTGTTTCTATTTGTCAGCATATGTTCTACAAGCTAAAATTCAATAACATTCATGGAAGCTGCACTTAAATTATGCTGGTGCTACTGTATTCCAGTACATGACTCATACTTTATTTTTCCATATGTGCTACATGGATGAGAACTTTAAATTAGATTAAATGAGATTAAAATTGTGAATTTCTGAAATTGTTAATATTTACCTAGAGTTTCTGATGCACTTATCATTACTGAATCATCAGCAGAAAGAGCTTACCTGGGGGGACACTCTGCTGCCATGAAGAGAGGAACTCTTCCAAATTGAAGATTCCAGTTGGCCGGAGAAGCACTTGCGCCAAAAAGCAACAAACCTCCTTCTCTCGTAGCTTGAACAACTCTTCTCCTAGAATGCATTCAAAATATATTGTACATAAAAGATGAAAATGGCCATATCAAAGTGAAACAGCAAGTGAGGCTACCCCTGAAGTCATGCACCTGTAGGCTGACTAATTAGTTCTAATTAAATTAATCAGTCAACCCATGCTAGACACCACTTCCAAGGGGAGTGAGGTGAAAAACAGGGGAAAAGGATAGTCAGCTGTAATGATTCATGACAAATGGTCAAATGATGTCCATCCCAATTGACTGGGAAGTTTTTCCAGGTCCTCCTTATGGCATTGCATAAGTATTCATTTGGCCAAGATTCATCTCCATTATTCCTTTCCTCTTCTCTAATATGAATACTTTCTTTTCTTCCTTCCAATACAGTCATATGTACACTTACTTGCTTGCAGCTCCCTCAAATTATCTGAAGAGCCTTATTTGTCACAGATCAATGACCACCACATCACTGTCAACCTCCTTAACTCTTTGAGGAGTGGATTTTTTAACACCTGCAAGTTCCATCATAGTGAATATATGGAGGACAGGATAGCATCAGCTCATAAATATACAGCAATACCCCACTTGGCACTCAGGATGCATTCCTGGAAAAGAGAGCTCTAAATGAAGCAGTGCTAAAAGGGGTCATTATACCACTGTATATATGGAGATGCAAATCTAGCTGTGAATATTCCAATTCATAACTTTTGACTTTTATTTTAGATAAAAATTTTTCTCTCCAGGATCAAGAACACCATAACAAAACAGCACTATATAGGGTAGTGCTAAGCAGGGTATTACTGCATGTGCTTACTCCTCAACGGGTTAAGCAGATGATATATTCAATCTCACTATCTCATGAAATAAGTTTTCATTCAATGTAACTCAATCCATGGCACTTATTTTCTCTATCAAACATAGAGTGTTACACCATTTCAAAAGAACTGAGTGCTCTCCCCAAGCTTCTTGAATGGATTTTGTCCTCCCTTTCTTTGTTCATTACTCAGAAATTCACACATTGATCATGAATTCTTCATGGTTGGAAAGTCTCTCAGTTCCTCCTTTGATTCAATATACAATATATGATGACTCTTGCAGGAGTTTCATTAGGGTAATCAAGGAAAGAAGGGATTGTCCAGTCTGCTGCCTCTCCCCTGCTCAGTAATTTTTGGAATGGTGTATTACTATTCTATGTAGTCAACTCCATCATAGTCATTCTTCAATATAGTCAATGTAGTCTCAGCTGATGCATCTGTCATATGCAAGTTGCCCTTTCCAGGCATGTTGAACTTGCACAGCCTTACCATACTGGGTTAACATGAAAGTCCATTACAGCATGCAGGCAGAACTTGTGTGGGCAAACCCTTGGGCGTAGAATGTGCGTTTTCATGCAAGTTCAGAAGAGCAGTTTTACTCAGTCAGGATAACTATTGGATACCTTAAGGCCACCAAAGTGCACCTTTTCCTCTTCATCTTTGAACAAGCACATTAAATGTCATAAAATGTATCAGTTAATGAATAGACTATTACAATGAATTACAAGGCAGATAAATTCCATGAAAGCCACTAGAGTTGTTTAGGAAGAACAAAAGTACTCACTCATACACTGAATAATACCAGAAAAAAAGAACTTTCAGTGAAAGTGAAAGGGATGGAGAAATCCCTTTCATCCTGATTCCAATTTCAAAGCAACTGCACAGCCTGTGATCTCAATAAACAATCTGCATATCCTGGGGTGTTACATCATGATGTGTCTAAAAATGCCTCCCTGAAGTTCAGGTCAACTTGCACACAAAGTAGAGCATGCACGTTAACTTGAATGGGCTGGACATGACAGGTTCAACATGCATGATACATTTTATACAAATTCAACTTGCACGGAGAGGTCAATATGCATATGACACTTCTATCCTGATGATCCTAAATATTATCTAAATATGGAAAGATTAGAAAAATTTTCTCCTGCATGCTCAACCTGATTATGTGCATTTATATCATCATTAGACAAAGACGTAATAAAACAATATTTTATAATGCAAACTTTCAATAACAAAGTAGAGACTATTTCAATAGCAATTGTGAATTTTTAAGTATCCCATTTTTGTTTATCTCTCAGTTTTTACAATTGGAATTGATAAAAAATGCTTTTGTCAGGCAAATATTAACCTTGACAGGGGGGCAAATGCCCATCTACATTTGGCTTCTCACTGCATTGAGCACTAAGCCTATCCTTCCACTCACTCCCTTAATATTCCTCTCAGGAAGAGCCATATTGCTTGTCAATGAGGAAATGAAATCATGCAAACTGACCAACCTGCAGAGATGCTTTATGATATTCATACATCGCACAATTTGCTACATCATGAAATTAGGGTGAATATGAACTTTTCTCTATACTACTCACCAAGCAGTATCAGCTATACAGGATTTGCCCTTCTTGTTCTAGTTCAGTTCCTCAATTGTGACAGAATTGGAACAAAATGACCAGTTTTTCCTCTCTACTAGTTCACCAAGCTGAAGTCACCAGTAAGGTCAAAAAAGCATGTTAAAAAGAATGCACTACTCCACTGTTCACTGCTCTAAAACTTACCAGATTTGGAGAAGAGACCAGATGGTTCCAAATACCAAGAGAAGACCTGTTCCAAGATTTCCCTTGGTTTCAAAGCTTCCAGTTCACCCAGTGTTGCCAAATGTGGGATTCCATCAATTGAGAGAGATTCTGCCTCAATGTAATTCAATATATCTGATAGAACTTGAAATTCATAGTCAAAATCCAGCACTCTCCAGTACCCTGCAATTGAGATTAAAAAAATAAAAGAATTAATTGAGATTCCTATGTAATATAGAACATTGAAGGATAGTAGAAAGCTAAGTGCTCCAAGTAAGTAGTCATAATGATGGCATCTTTCATGACATGCATTGCTATACTTGATTGAAAATATTCAAAGTTTAAATTTTGGATAGCTATGAAAAAGAGGTTGTAATATAACATAAATTATGCCTCAATATGAAGGGTGTTAAAAACAAAGTGACAAAGCTAAGCTCAATAAAAGTTATTAGCTATAAGGGGTTTTATTTCATGGATTTCTTTAGTCTTCTAACTCCAGATGAAATACAGTTTAAATGGGAGCAGTGGTTTGTTCCAATGTTGCATAGAATCAACATCACTTCAATAAAGCCAGCCAGATTTGATGCTTGAACAAATGTGAATACAAGAAGCTTTAAGAAATCTAAATCTCTCAGAAGGTTTAACCAATCGCCAAAAATTCAGGAAGCACCTTCACATACCCAGGTTTCTGATTATGTTATGAAATTCAGAGATGGACACGAGATCATATCTAATAAATCATAACCAAGTTGTCTTTATATATCCAACCTGATAGTAAGGAAGGGCATGCCATAATTAAGAATGATTATCTAACTCTGGCATACAATTCAGCACAACCTGAAATTTCTCTATTAAGTACAACAGTATCGTGACATATCAGCCAAGTCTGAAGCTAGTGCAGATCTGTTGATTACTCATATGTACATTCTTGAATATTTAGCAGCAGGAATGAATGAATGCATCCCTTGACATTAAAAGAAAACTACTTCAACTGAAATTCACATATGTTATTTCAGAATTAGAGACTTTGAAGAAGTGCTTTCCAAGCTCCTTTTCAAACCTTCCCTCTGGCTGTGGTTCATGGATAATATTCTTATTACCTGGATGTAAGGATAAAAAAAAGTTTCTTGAACTTATGGATCCTCTAATTTCTCCCTTCCTCATCTTTAAATTCCAACTTTGTCAACAAATCACATCAATATTTTTTACTGCTTGGCGACTATCAACAATGTTGTTTCATCTACTAACCTAGTTCTTGAAGTCTAGAGACTCCAGCACATAATTCCTTTTCTCTTCACATCTGAAACTATGAAAGAAGAAGTCTTTGTTATATGGCCTATAGTTGAAACTTGCAAAAATCCAGGTGTTCCTACAATTAGGATTTAATAGTCCTATCCACAACCTCCATAAAAATGTGATGATGAAGATAAGAGCATAAATTCATAAATCACTGACAGAGGGCTGACTTTAGTGGTAGAGGAAAGAGAGGGAGTAGGACAGGTAAAGAACAATGGGTAATTAGGATGAATAGAATAATGCATTGAAGAAGAAAACAATATCAGAGATAATAAATAATACATGAATCAGGGTCAGTAATATCATTTTCAAATCAGTTTGAGCAGGAATAGATCTCTATTGGCATATGATGTTTTACATCCAAGACAGATGCCATCTGTGATGAATTGGGTCTTCCGCTTCCTACCTTGCGAAGAAACTCATCAAAAGTGACAGAAAAGTATTCCATGTATTAAAAAATGCAGAAAGTTTGGTCAATCACTTGGTCCATACTAAATCCAAGGACTAAATATATATCAGCTCCAATGGAATAGTGGTCAGGGCTTTGTATTGGTTTGAAAGGCAATACTACCAATTGGTTGGTATTACATGTCAATACTGATTAGAAGTAGACTCAAACACACCAAATTTCCATTATATAGTGACATGAACAACCAGAGAATAGGTAATGCCATTTTTTAGCTTATATAAACTGCAACTTTCTACATTTCATACATTCTGAAAATAGAGCAGGATAAAGCTTTGCAGCTTTCTACTATCCAATTTGACAGATGTGGGGAAAGAAACCATTGATTTGACAAGCCCTGATAGCCTGGAGTGCACCACACAGTTCCCCTTCACTGGCCTGAATCCTATCCAAGAGATCCTGGAATGAATAGAAGTGAAGACCCAGATCTCTGGCTTCATCATCTGTCTTCTCATGTTCCTTCCCTCTGTATGGGTTTTCCATCAGCAGATCCTCCAGCCGTTTCATGTTTGGTCTTGTTGGGTTTGCTTCAAAGATATGATGCAGCAACTGGGACACCTGGAACATCATAAATGCCTCCTCTGGTCCAAAAATGTAAGCCATAATTGTCAGCCTAAGAATTACTATCAAGATATAAACATTGCAAAAGAGTCACAAAGTGAAATCAGATTTTTCAGCACACAATCCTCCAAGAAAAAGAGGTTTCACCCAATTAAATATGAGCTGAAGCAAAGAGGCACCCATAAAGCAGGGAAGTCTCCAACTAAACACACGTGGTAGTGAAAAATCTATGTGCACAGATTTCCACTTTCACATTAAATTTCTTGCTGAATTATTATTGACTATTGGTTAATGCATTGTTTGCAATATTTTAGGGTCACTCATACTACATTGACTCCATATTCAAAGCAATTCCCATACCTCCTCTAGCACCCTGAAAATACACAATTTAAACCTTTAAATTTCAAGGACTTAAAAGGAAAATCCATATTCACCTGACTTTCTATGTAATCTCAAAATAAAAATTTCCACATCTCTTCCATAAATCTTCTTATACCACCCCAGATGGAGAGAAACAAGGTGAGCAAACACAATATACAGTCAACTCTCGTTAATCCGAACACCAGCAATCTGGATCTCCCATTAATTTGGACATGAAGAATGTTCCCAGTAGAAGTCCCATAGAACCAATAATAAAATTATCCTTTTAATCCAAATGTCATTATTCTGTATTTTCCATTTACCTGTAAGAGTTTTCTTATCCCCAGAGCCATTCTCCCTGTTAATCTGGACTTTTCAGAAAAATACATTTGATACAACAGAAAATAATAGATTTCCGTTTTTTCCCCACATCTTCACTTTCTCTCACCTTTGGATTTAAGATAAATAAATAAATAAAAAGAGAAAACGTTCAATCTCCCCAATTTCTTGGAATCGAGTCACGAGGAGCGCTCTTTTCATTGTCATGTCACTCATCCTCTCTCAGTCTAGCCTGTTCTTGTCATTAGAGGCACGAGAAATTCATTACCTCCCATTATTGGTAAGTGTTCCCAACATGATCCCACACAGGAGGAGAATTGGAAGTTATGAAGCTATCAGACTTGGGCCTCATCCATGCCAGAAAGTTTTCTATGCTACATTTATTTGCAAAAGAAGCTTTTGTGGTGAGGACGTCTTAGAAAATTTTATACGCAAGATTTACGACGCTGTGGGATATTCCTTTGAAAGATTTATTTCAAAAATCTTATTTTGCAACATTCTTTAATCATATATGAAGAAAAATTTCTAGTGTGGACTAGGCCTTAGTTGAAAGACAAGTTGCAGTAGTGAATATTCCAACATCGACAATGTCAGATGTAGGATATATAGATGTGTCGCAATGAACTTGAACAGGGTGCTGTCCCTCTCGCATTCGAAACGAATTCGAAGTGCACACTTTGAGGATCCATGAGCCCTGACAGATCAAAAGAAAAGAGTCCAAGTTTTCCTATTTCCATGCAAACAATGAAGGCCTTCTTTGCACACATTAGGTGTAGCTTACTTTTCCAGGAAAAAAAAAAGAAATATGAATGGTCATTTGGCAGGTACTCAATAATCCAGATGGACCATTAATCTGGACAAAATCACCAGTCCCCTTGAGTCCGAATTAACAAGAGTTGACTTTATAGTATGAGTAAATAGGAAAAACGTTCCACCCTTGGGAAAAATATATACAAAAGGAATAAGGCATACAATCTTTGTGCTGACAGCTGGCTCCTGGGTGTTAGGAATGTCCTCAGGGAAGATCAAGTCCTGCATTAGGAGCATAGTGCTGGAGGCTTCCATTTCCTTCACTTCACATGTGCTTTCATCAGAGCACAACACAACTGAGTCATCTCTCTCACCTCTGATCACCAGACTGGCAGAAATCAAAACCTCTCAAGTGTACCAAACTAATGCCATGCAATAGTGCAAACTCAGTTGTAGAAAACTTGCATTAATCAATGGTGTACTCTCATTCCAATAACTGTTTCGCAATATGCTTGGAAGAAATTTGGGAAAATAGAAAGATTCAGAAGAAATGCAATGAAGCTGACCTCTCTCTGAAACAATTATTGTGGCAAACTCATGGAATGCAACATTCTTAAACTTAACTTAAAAAGCAAGGCAAAACCTTAGGCATAACATTTTGTGATACCCAAAATGGTAGCACCAGAAGAATGAAAAGAGGTGAATCAAAGCATGCAAAAATAAAAGGAATTAATCAAATATAGAGTCATTAAAAATAGAAAGGATTTATATTTGTATATGGTTTCACTTTTCATCTTTAACCCTTCATATGGTACTGCCTCCATTCAGAGACGAATGTATCAAAGGAATTGAAAGGGTGTAACAGCACATGGTGCAAATATGTGAAAAACAGAAGTCCAATTAAAAGAATTACAATTATCTAGGCTGGGATATTGCCAAGAGATTCAGTTACAAAGCAAGTTTGGCCATAGTTCAGTGCTTCAGTGATTATGCTCCAATAAAATTTTCCATGGAAATGGCTAAGGATATGGTAAGTTCCTTGCTTATGATACCTTTTAGTATTAAAGAATAAAAATAAATGCTACATTAGCTTGTGTAGTAACAACTCACAGTAGGTGAGTGTTGACATATTTTAGTCAGTGTTCAGCTATTCAAAATTGAATTTAAAAATTAGCCGGTATTAATAATGGTAAGTTATCATATAAGCTGTATTGATGTCAAGCATCATCACAAGTGAATTATTTGTTGGGTTTGATGCAAATTAATAAATCTCACCCTGAAGCAAGATCTAACAGCAGTTTAAAGTAAGTTATCTCATAACAACCAGAGTACAAAAACTCTCTTTTCTAGACATACATGTCACTTGAAATGAGCGCCAGCAGAATTATAAGCCTAGGCAATGACAAACGAAAATCACATTCAAATACAAATTACAGGGGCTCACAGACAATTGGATACTAATAATTTGTAACCAAACAATTGGAGGAAGTTTTTCAAAGGTAAAGCTTCCTCCAAGCTTCTGACCCAAGGATGCTAATTTATGCCATTTCCAGGGGGATCAGTCAGAAATGGGAAAACCACCTCAACTTCAGCTTGCTGATCACATCAAACATTCATGTGCATATGCACTTTTCCCATCTTGACCTATGATCGCACTTACTTACTGAGCTGAGTATTCTGCTTTCATCTGCTGCTTCCAGTGCTGACACATTTCAGAGCAGCCCAAATTCGTAATCATATCATAATTGGTGTTTGAAACTGGTAGTTATCTTTTTACCTAATAACTGTGATTTTTTCTCATCACTCTTTTTCTTCTGTCCCAATGTGCCAACTGAGAATGTTCAACTTAAAACCCTTACACAAATTCCTTAACCCTTTGCAGTCCATTTTTTTCCACAAGCATGCCCAAAATGTCCTATTATTTTTCAGGCATTTACTGTAAAATTTGTACCTTATTGTAATGAACTTTCACTAACACCACTTACATTCTCATCTTCCCAATCACTCCCACCAGCACTCAAATTGTCTTCACTTTCCAATAAAAACTCCTCCATATCATCATAACAAAGGGACATGTTTTGAAATGTTCACTAAATTTCTAAATTAAATTGGCTTACATCTATTGGGGAAAGGGAAGAAACATTACTGAAGGTTTTCCTCAACAGATAGGCATAACCACAATGTCCCACTCAGTGGAACAGAGGACTATAAGTGAAAAAACTTTGGCTGACCTGGAGGGACATAAGACTGGAATGAGAATTTTGTAATGGCCTAACCAGTAGGACAAAGGGTTAATGATACTCTGGTCATGGCTAGCTGGGGAATGTGAATAGGTCAATGAGCTCTTTGGAATAGAATTCAATTCAATTCATAAGACCATTGTTGGCTGCTGGTACTAAGTAAGTATGAACCCCTTTTCCATAAGCATATATACAGTATCTGTAGGCCTACTAACAACCAAATGAATTATTTTCACACCAGTACAGAAAGTGCTAAGAATTTTTGTTCAATCAATTTGATATGCATTACTTTTTTCAGCAAAAAAAGTTTGTAATTGTAAAAGAGTTTGTCACTAAACTGGGCCTATTATTTTTGCTCCAAGCGAATTATACTCTTCCTCGTATCAAATTTTGTTTACCTTCCTCCAGAATCCAGCTGAGTGAGCAATGCTTTGGGGAGGTGAAGTAGATGAACAGATTCATCAAGTCTCCCAAATGTGATGGCTTGTGACAAAGGCTTCACAGAATCAATGTCAACATTTGCTTCTGCCAGTCGTTTCATCACATCAGCAGTCGTTCTGAAACTGAAAGTGGTTCAAATCTGAGGTGTATAAGTCTTCTAGATCCATCTGCATCAACTATTTTTAGACCTCTACTATGGGCAAGCATATGCAAAAGCTCAAATATCCTTAGTGTAAGCAATGCTTTGAAAGGGAAGCAATTCTTTGAAAGGGTTGAAGAGAACTATTCCCATTGGTGGTTCATATTCTCATATTAAATATTGTTCCATCTATCTTGGCATAGATACACTTGCAACTATGGCTGAAACGCCTTAAATGGGTAGAGCAGCAGTGTCAAAGACCAAAACCATTGCATCTATGGACACTACCATAAAGTATAGTTTTATGAGGCAATCAATAGCAAGGTAATGTTGCCCATTGCAGATTCACTAACTTGTATGAAAGCTAATTTCACTTAATAAACATTAGTACCACTAATAAAGCCATGATGCTTAATTCCACACTTGCATGTATTTCTCGACTGTACAACAAAACATGCCGATTCATTTTGGCATTTGAAACGTTTTCTCTCAAAAAACTAGTCCTACAACCTTGAATCTCTGATCTCACTACTATTAGTACACACTAATGTATGAGTTAAGTCAAGGATTACAATATATTGAACAATGTTGCTGATGCTCAAGTCTTGGTCCTAACACCAGGCAAGCTGGCGTGATATTTTAATTGCGAAACCCTCTCATTGAGGGTAAAAAGTTGAATCAGAAAGTCTACCTAAACATAGGCTAAGAATACGACATAAGAAAGCCTAAGAGTAAGGCCTAAGACTTGAAGGAGACTGTAGGCGTAACCTAGCAACCTTTGCTGATGTTCCATGATCAGGTTTTGATGAAATATTGAGCTAGTACAGAAGCAAGCAACAGACAGCAGAGCCACTGAGCATTGAGCACGTGGTGATCATGAGTTATTCCCGCGCTACAGAGTTGCCAGATATGCTACTATGCTCGGTAGGATACTACGGTAAGTACAGGTACCAAGAAAAATAAGACGATACCATCGTGACAAACATAACAAGTGGACATGCATTACGTAGATATCAGCTCAATTCTACTCATCATTTTTTAACTCTCCAAGTAACTGTTTTAGCCTGGTAATTTTTTAAAATCTTTATCAGCAATAACATTCTGCATTTCGTAGCATGCAAGTTAAGTTGAATCTCGGCCAGTGTAAAGAAACTAGATCCCGAATGCTGAAACCTCATTTAGGCGAGATGAAGGTATCTTTTAGCTAAATAGTATTTTCCCCCACAGGAGACCGGAGATTCCTAAAGAACCGTTAAAAAAAGGATTTTCCAGCGTTCCGACCTCCGAATGTGTGACAAAAATGGCCGTTAATAGAAAAGTTAAATCAAATCGCAAGAAGATCCTTGTGAACGCTCTGAAATGTTGTGTACATTATGGAATGCGGACGTCATCGTCAGCAAACGGCATCGCAATATTAGCGGAGGAGGAAAGAAGTTTTTAAATTAAATGGAGGGAGTTTTAAGGCGCAAGTACATGAGAATAGATAGGAACAAAACAAAGGTGATGGTATGTGGAAGAAACCGGACAGGAAAACTGCAAGATTTGGAAACGAAGAACTGGAGGAGGTTGATGAATTTTGCTACTTGGGAAGATAACTAAGGATAGACGAAGTAGAAAGGAAATAGCAAGCAGAATAGCACAGGCAAAGAAGGCATTTTACCAAAAGAAGCAACTTCTGACATCAAGTTCTGTCAACCTGGAAGTTAGAAAGAAATTCTTGGGGACCTATGTATGGAGTGTGGCACTGTACGGATGTGAATCATGGACAATAACGGAGAAGAGGAGATTGAAGGCGATGGAAATGTGGTGCTACAGAAGGATGCTGAAGACCATAACTGAGGGGATGATACAAGGGGAAGTCGGAAAGTACGATTAATTTTAGTCAAGGAAGACAGGTAATTTTTCCCCCTCATTTTCTCTCGAAAGCTCGTTTATTCAGCATTTCTCCATATAGTCACCACCAATTTCAATGCATTTCCTGAGGTGGTGCAGCCATTTTTGGAAGCACACCACAAAATCTTTTTTGAGCTTTCCCAGCACATTCTTGACAGCTTCAATGACGTCATTTCGGGTGTCAAACAATGGCTGCACCACCTCAGGAAATGCATTCAAATTGGTGGTGACTATGTGGAGAAATGCTGAATAAACAAGCTTTCGAGAGAAAATGAGGGGGGAAAAATTACATGTCTTCCTTGATTAAAATTAATCGGACTTTCCAACCTCCCCTCGTAGAAGGAAAGAATTATAGAGGAAGACCTAGACTAGGGTATACACGACAGATCATACAAGATGTGGGTTGCAACTACAGAGAAATGGCAGAGCGGAGAGAAGAATGGAGAGCTGCGACAAACCAATCTAAGGATTGATGACTTGATGATGATATGGAATGCGATTGCTCAGCAGCTTCTCAGAATCCTCTTGAAAATTCTGCTTGCAATGACACGTGAGGGTGATTTATCGAGTAACCATTTATGCACGTTAAAGATAATTTTATGGACATCGTCTCCATGGCTGATGTCAAGTTCTGCATTTTCAAAGTGTAAAGGAGCACTTGAGGTTTCGGAGTCCTGGTCTATTCAATCCATCTGATATTGCATCCCAATCGAATATACTGTATAACTCAGATGCACTCCCGATTTTTTTTACTGTATACTTGGCGGGTGTATTAAAGTTCCTCATTCTTTCTCCTCTCCCTCGTTTTATTTTTCATCCTTCACCCCCTTCTTAATTGTTTCCATATGCCTTGCCATGAAGGCAAAACCTTAAAACCTTAAAGAATTCATATTTTCCTTCCGTCAAAATTACTGTTTTCTTCGCCTATCAAAGCTCTACTTTCCTTTTTCCTTTCGTCTGCCGTGTTTGCCATGATTCAAAGTAACAAAAACGATACCTGGAAAGACAGGGATTTCAAGAGGACTTTAATATGTCATAGCAAATAGCATCAACAAGCACTCTATAGCAAAAATGCTATAGCGCAGACAATGAAAACGAGGCACACTTGTAAGAATCTCCGACACGTTCAGGATGAAGAATTTAAAAGGAGGAAAAAGAAGGAAAAGAAAAGAAATATAAAAAAATTTGCTCTACTGAACAGCAATCGGTGAGAAACCGATCTATCTGCAATTCATCACATTCTTAACAAATGTTATCATCAGGAAGTATTCTTTGGCACAGATTCTGGGATATCAAATGGACTATGATAATAATAATAATAATAATAATAATAAATGAGAAGCACTTCATGTACAACGGAAATGATTTCAATCACAAAAAGGGGGCAATACACTTTAAAACCTGCATAGGATTGGGATTGGGAGCCTGGGATTGGGTCCCCGCCTCCAGGAGGGTTGGAACCTCCTCTTGGCCATGGGACGACGTGGGGTGCTGCCCTTTACC